CGGGTAATGAAATGTTTGCAAGAAAAGAACCAAGCTCAGAGAACCCCAGGGACTCCACAATTCAGTCCTTAGCTACACATATTCTCGTCTACAGTATATACCAGCAATCTTCACAAAGTGAAGACAGATTCCACTTTACCTTTTGCCAGTTATAATTTGTTTTAAAAAGGAAAAAGGATGGCAATGGCTAAATTCCAAGACTGAATGGATAAACATTCTAAAAATATTAACAGTTTTTGGATTTTTTGTTTTGTTTTGTTTTTGGTAGTGTCTACTAGAACTTCAAAATGAAGCTGTGTTTATGTGGACAGCAGAATTAGAAAATGTAGCAACTCTTTGTTTTAAGGCTCTGGAAAATTCAAATTATGGTGTACGAGTTGCAGTATCCAAACTTTTGGGGACAGTTATGGCTACAGCACTGATACCAAAGCAAGCAGCAGGTATTAACCATTGAATTATTCATATCATTATTTTGTTGTTCAGCAGTAGACACATGGATAAGCTGAATATGTATACTATTGTATAATGTGTAAACAATGATAAAAATATATATACTTTCACAATTTTTAGTTTTTTGATGATTTTGTATTAATTTCATGGCTGTAAAGACATTGGTACCTTTAACATGACATAGTACTTTCCAACATTTCAGTTATAATTATAGCAAGAACTGATTGAAAATATTCTGTTGAGTAAAACGTTCTGTTTATTTGTTTAAGTGATGCGCCAGAATGTAAAAAAAGCTACATTGGAAGAGGTTTTAGAACTCATGGCCACTGGTTTTCTGCGAGGAGGATCTGGATTCTTAAAAAGTGGTGGAGAGATGTTAAAAGTAGGAGGATCTGTTAATCGAGAAGTGCGAGTCGGGGTTACTCAGGTATGTTTATTTTAAAATGCTTTAAAGTAGTTTTGCAGCAACCAGAGAAAGGAAAGAAAAGCCTCTTTCACAGAGTTGTCGAAATTAACAACTTGTGATGTTAATGTGTATTAATTAGCATATAATGATTGTTTTTTATTATTTTTCAATGTTATTCTTACAGTTCCAGCTAAATAAATATATAATGAGACTCAGAGAAGGGTGCAGATATGCCCAGTGGGCATTTGGATGTTTCTTGAAAAAGCAAGTGATATGATAAGCTTCTTTTGAAACATGGAGCCTTTTCAGTAGCAATAAGACGTGGCAGTGAATATCATTATTTACTTATTTGTTTACGCTAAAGAACAAAATCCTACATGGAATGCTGGAGGTGTAGGCAAGAATGACCTCATCCTTCAGGTCCTAGCTATAATATGGTATGCAACTGAGTAGGTTAAACTATGTAAGTAAGTGGAGGTGTTTGTTGAGCTTCTAAAAGAAAGGCTTTCGCTCAGAGTTCTTGACAATCCTGTTCAAGAAACTTGTAGCACCATTTGGGTCTTCTAACGACTTTGAGGCCATATACTATGAAATTATTATATAATATCATAGTATCAATATCATTATTATGATATTAAAGAGCTCCATCTGAAACTATGGTGAGTTCTCAACATAGATGAGGTGATATTGATCTTGATAAGCCTACGTCATTGTAATATTAGAGGGCCTGATTTGGTATTTTCACTTCAGAAACAAAAAATTACATAATTGTAAGGGGTAGGATAGGGAATATTGGAGAACTGAAGGGAAAAAGTGTAAGTAGGCTTTTAAATTCAGAGTAAAAATCCCATGAACCTCAAGTAACTTAATAATTTTAAATTTTCAGGCCTATGTTGTCTTTGTCACAACCCTAGGAGGTCAGTGGCTGGAACGAAATTTTGCAACCTTCTTGTCACACGTACTGGATTTGGTTTCTCATCCTCGTGCAACTCAAACTCACGTAGAAGCTGTCTACTCTCGAAGATGTGTCTCATTTATCCTCAGAGCAACAGTAGGAAGTTTATTGGGAGAGAAGGCACAGATTGCTGCTGCTAAAGATATTTGTCAAGCTATTGATAAACAGATGAAGGCAGTAGGTAAGAGAAAACAACTTCAGTGTACAGGTAGTCCTCAACTTACGAACATTTGTTCAGCGATTGTTCAAAGTTACGACAGTGCTGGAAAAAAATGGCTTACAACAGTCCATGAAGTTATGGCCATTGCAGCACCCCCACGGTCATGTGATTGCGATCTAGGCCCTTGGCAACCCATTCACACTTATGATTGGTTGCCAAGCTCCCCATGATCATGCAATCGCCATTTGTAATCTTCCCTGTCAGCTTCCCATAAGCAAAGTCAATGGGGAAACCAGCAGGGGAGGTTGCAAATTGCTCAGGTAAGTCTCCCCCACCCACCCCAGCCTTTCTTTGCTTGCTCACATGCACAGCGCCCTCCTTCCCCCTTCACTCGCTCACACGCACCAGTGCTCTCCTTCCCCCTTTACTCGCTCACACACACTGCACCCTCTTCACTTGCACATGCTTGCATACAGCAGCACGCTCCTTTCCCTTCGCTTGCTTGCATGCACCAGTGCCTTCCTTCCCCTTTTGCTCACTCGTGCACACCAATACCCTCCTTCCCCCTTCCTGCTCAGAGTTTGTTTCATGAGCTATTGGGTAAAGCTTCTCTTCTCTTCATTTGTTCATCCAGCTGTCTTCCCTCCCAGTTCCCTGCACTGACCTTTTGTCTTTTGCGCCCAGCCACTGCGGCTGAAACACAAGTGCCTCGCTGCCTTTGCTGTCTCCTTTTCAGACTCACAGCCATCGTGCTACCCTGGATGCTCCAGCTTCCTACTTGTGGCTCCCTGAGTCAAACCCTGGTGCTTTCCCTTTGGGCGAAACTGCTTCTTGCCTTCCCTATTGGCTAGCATTCTTATTTGTGCCAGACTGCCAGGCTGGGCTGGGGGGCTTTGGCCTTTTTTTTTTCCCAGTGCAAAGCAAAAGCCAAGCCCAGCTCCACCCAGGAATGTGGCACAAAGGGGCATTTCGGCGTGCTGTGTTCCAGGCACTTTTAGCAAAGGGGCTTTTTGGCATGCCATGGCTCTGGGGCTGCTTTTGGCATTTTTTTTTTTTTTTACAGCCAAAGCCCAGCCCAGTCTGGTCCAGCAGCCAGGCTGGGCACGCCTCAGCAGCGGGAGCAAGAAGATGGCAAAGATCAGCTGGGATGGAGTAATGCAGGACAACAGGGGTCTTGGAGTGCAGGGTGGCAAGGGCAACTGCAGCTGGGAGTGGGCTGGGGTGGCTGTGGCTTTCCAGGGTGTGGCAAGCAGCCCTAGAGCTGTGCAGTTCTGGGGCTGCTTGCTGCCCTGCGAAGGTGCAGGGCAGCCAGAAGGGCAGAGTTGAGGGGGAGATAGGTGGGTGGGAGGAGTTAGAGGCAGTCCCTTACTTTACTGAGGCTTGGGGCTGGGAGGGGCCAAGCCCAGAATGGCTTGGATTGGGGTGGGTACTCGCTTAACGACCTGCGATTCTTGGTTAACAACGGCAACCAGGACTGCTGGGATTGTGTTCACTAAGTGATGTGGTCATGTGATGTCACTTTATGACTGCATGGCTTAGCGATGGAAATTCTGGTCCCAACTGTGGTCTTAAATCAAGGACTACCTGTATGTTTGTATTGTTTTTATTATTACTGTCCTGTTTTTTAATAGTGGGATAAGGAGGTGCTAGTTTTCAAATATATTGAGCTACGTCTGTATGCCACTGGTTTATGTGGTCATGATATAAATGAGATCTTTGCAATAATTGTGTGCCTAAAGAATAGAGACAGTGTGTAAATGTAATACTTGATTGCATTTTGCCTACCAAATGGACCTGAGATGATTACTGAGTTGCAAAATAAAACCTCTAAACAGCCACATTTCCTATCAGAGTGCTATCTTGTAAAGATATAATAGTGCCACGGGCATAAAGAAATGAGCCTTATTTTCATTAATGTTTGGACTGGAAGAATAAAGGGAATTGACAGGTTTTGGAAGGATTTTACTAGCATTTTTGCTTCAGATAGGTCCTTGGATCTAAAGCTATTGTGTCCATCCTTTTGATATATACTATTTTCAAATAGAATGCATAATATGTACAATTAAAGATGAGAGAAGTTGTCCAAGTCTCCCTTTTGCTACAGCCCATTGTATACCTTCAAAATCCCTCCTGGAAACTTGAGGAACCATCTAGAACAGATTTTTGAGGGTGTGCAAGAAATTGAGAGTGAAGGAAAGAACCCTGCAGTTCTATTGTATAAATTGGCTGTTTCTTGTGTGATGTTGAACTCCACCAAAGACTGGAATTATTTTCTGTAAAAATTATTTTCTGGTTAGGTATAGGTAATTAGTATAGTTGTTTAGTGATGTTATATAGTAATAATGTTTGCAGCTTTTTTTCTATGACATTTTGATTCTACGTGGTAAAGTGTTAAGGAATAAGAATGATTCTTCGGTTTGTGAAACTTTAGTTTTTGGTGTATTTTTTTAAAATATAAAATAGCTTTCCATAGTTAAAAAAAAACCAAGAATGACATATTTCTAAGTACACTCTTGCAGTTTAGACATTTGCCATGAAACACTGTGTTTTAATATTTACTGCTAACAGCATATATTAATGTATAAAAAACTGTACTTTCCAGCCTTTTCCTTTAGGCAGGCCATTACATTGTTTTCAAAAGCTTTTCAAGACATCTGGGTAAGCCAGAGATAGTACCTGTGGGCAGCAGTGCACATACGACCCCTCCCACATGGCTAGTAACGGACTCCAATATTCAATAAAAATTAATATAAATTACATTATTTTTAATATGGTCAAAATCTTGTGAGATCATTAAGTCTTGTAAGAATTTGGTGATCCTGAAGTCTTGTGGCATTTTGAACAAGAACAGTAAAATTTCACAAGATTTCAGGTGATGCTATGATTAGAATCTTTTCCTGGCTGATCTCCCATTCAGGGATTCTTAAACTAAATAATCAACTGAAAGATGGGGATGCCCTCAGCTGTGACCACCAGAGTTACTGAAGGGAAATGCCAATTGGTAGGCCTCTATCTTGGTCTCTCTTTTCAGCAATATGGTCCAGTTGCCTATGCCTGGTGAATTACATGCTCACTTCTTGTATTATAAATTATTGGATTGGCTGGACCATGAGAAACTCCTAGCCAGTGATCAAGCAACATCAATCATTTAGGGAGGACAGATCTATAGTAGATCAATGTGCCATCTTATAATTTTTAATAAAGAAATATACACCTGGACAATATTACCCTTAAAATTTGCCTTCATTGACTTAAAACTGCCCTTCAGTTGTATTTCAAGGGCGGACTCTATTGATTGGCAGCTACTGTTCCTAATTAGGTCAATTAAAATCCAAGTTAGATGTGATAGAGCTGATAGAGCTGGCCACCTTCCTGTGGACATTTTAATCCATTGAGAAACAAAACAAGATTGTATTGTAGTTCTTCTGTTGTTTAACATCTATGTAAATTCAATGATAGCTGCCTTAACCAAAAAGGGAATTCCATTCTCCTAAACTTTGTGACAAGCATTTGGTGGTACTGCTATATACTGATGATACAGCAATTATTTTGCTTACCGAGGTGGGCCTCAGGAGAAAATCTGCAGGCCCTAGCAGAATTCTGTAAGGAGAAATGGCTTACAGTCAATCACTCTAAGACCAAAATTATGTTTTTCTCAGGAAGACCTTCGTTGCTACAACTATAAATAGCTTTTGTTCCATATCAGTTGCATAAATTCCAGCTTTTAAATAACTTCATGTAATTTTTCAAGTTTCTGGAGCTTGGTGGGAACAAATTAGAGCCATTTCTGCCAAAGCTAACAATAACACCAAGGTGATCCTGCTTTTTGTTTTTGTTTTTGTTTTTTTTTCATTCTAAAGGGGACAGTGGCATACTTGCCACCATCAAGCTTATTAAAGCTAAAACTATATCCCCAATACTGTATGGTGCACAGGTATGTGTCTACAATGATTCAAAACTCTTAGACATTGTTCACTTTAGGTTTTTGCTGCATTTCAAATGCTTTAATCCACATGGAAACACGTGTGATTCCACTGGAGACAAGAGCCCTTGTTTGCCAACTCTCTTAGTGGCTTAAATTCCTGTTTTCCACTGGCCCTGTCAATTCTCCTTGATGGCTTTTCATCAAAGTGAAAAGTAAAAATCTCAGGTGGCCTTTGTTATTACAGCCTTTCTATCTACTCTCTGTTGCCCCTAGGTTTAGAGAGAACTAAAGCCAAAATCCATCAAGAAGTTTTTTACACAACCAACTTTCAGTGGTGGGTTCCAATTTGGAAACTTTTTGTACATGCAAACTACTTATTCTATTTTCCAGTTCATTTCAATGCCTTACCCTCAATATTACTAGATGGGAGGTCTAGTAATTCATTGGCAGATGCTGTGGTTCTGGTCAGAATGAACCAGAGACCCTGTTGCATGCATTTTTCTGCTGCACTTTTTATACCAAATTGCAGACATAACCTCTACCTCCTGAAAAACTCAGACCTTTTGTGAGGGAGAGGATGTTCATTTCCTACTTGCCACTCAGAATCCTGCCATCACCAATAGAGTTGCTAAGTTTTTATCTGCAACGATTTCCATAAGAAAGCATAAGATAATCTTATCTTGGAATGATGACATCATGACATCATTTTTTCTTTTATTGCATTTTTATTTCATTCTATTTATGTTTTATATTGTTTTATTCTATCTTACTTTTTTCCCCCCATTTTTCCATTTTTAAGTCTTAACTTTTTAGGCTTTATATGACTGTTATTACTTTTTTCCCCCCATTTTTCCATTTTTAAGTCTTAACTTTTTAGGCTTTATATGACTGTTATTACTTTTTTCCCCCCATTTTTCCATTTTTAAGTCTTAACTTTTTAGGCTTTATATGACTGTTATTACTTTTTTCCCCCCATTTTTCCATTTTTAAGTCTTAACTTTTTAGGCTTTATATGACTGTTACGCTGTTTTTGTTGTATTGGTTGTTGATTCTGTGTTTTTTACCTTGCTGATTATTGACCATAATTAAATATATCTGATTTGTTTCAAGTGAGAATGTCTTGTGAACTTTGGCAAGCTTACTAGTGCCCTCTGCAGTACTCTTGCAGCCTACTAGTGACTCCTGAACCACAGATTGGCAACTATTGTACTGAACCAATCTCAGTTCCATGATAGTAGTTTGATACAGCAAACACGATCATTTTGTAAAGATAAAGATTTTAAATTTAGTTTCTTAGTCACAGTGTAGCTCGTTAGAAATAATGCAGAAAAGTGGTTTCAGAGTGTTCAGAAGTGAAATTAAACATCTATCTGCAACTCTTTAAAGCAATATAATCTCTGCAGCTGCCAGGGGATCCTGGGAAAAGATGTGGTTTCTTTAAAGAGTTACTGACTGGTCCTATGTCTGCTTCCCTGTGCACTCTAAAATACCTTTTTGGAACCTAATCCAAAGCAGTATGTTTTAAGTGTAGCAGAATGCTGGATTATTCACTGTTTTCCAATTTACTTTGACAGAAACAGTTGTGAATGATGCTAATGTTGAAAACAAATCAGGAGCAGCAGAAGTTGCAGCAAGTCAACATGTAATGGTTTGTGCTCTTCAAGAGCTTGGAAGTTTAGTTCAAAGCCTGAATGCCACTGCATCACCACTTATACAGGAGCCTTCTATAGGTAAGTCATTAAGGTTGCCATGCTGTACACACTAAGAATGCATCTCAGTGATTTCTGCCATATAATTATGTATGCAGTGCAATTCTGATGTGAAATATAAACTTAAGTGCCAGGGAATATAAGTCATTTTTGTCTTCTCTAGTTTGCATCCCAGTGATTGGAAGTTTAGTTGATTAAATGGACAGAATAGGTAATTGCCAATTTACTTTTGTTTGTTTTGTTTACTTAAAGTTCAGTTTCCCACCTTTCTAAAGCATCAGGGCAGTTAATAATGTGAAAGTGATATAATAGATACAGATTTAAGAATGTAATGCAATGCAATCAAAACAATAGAATACTAAAATATCAGTTGTTCGGAGATGAAACACCAGCATAATCAAAAAGATGAAGCGTAAACAATAAAGTCTAACAATAAAAATATAAAGCATAGTGAAGCCCTGGTAATTTGGTGTGATTTTGTGGTTTTTACCGTCAGCCATTGCATGTTTTAATTTTTTTTTAATATTATATTTTCTATTTTCAGCTTTGTTCAATGTCCAGAGTTGCTGTAGTGAGAGGGGCGGACATAGAAATCTGAATAATACATAATAGATACATTAATTAGAAATCTGCATGGTTTGTTAAAATTGTGTCCAACCAAAGGCCTACATAAAAAGAAAAATATTCACATGCTAACGGACCATTAAGGCAGACAAAGCCTATTTTCCAGATTAGACTATAGACATTGAATCTGAATTTGGCATTTAAAGAGTGCCGTTGAATGCTTCTTGGTGTCTTTATTAAGGTTTTTTAAAAATTAAAACACTGAAAATAGATAGCCTTGCATCTTTTGCTACTGAGTAAAATTTACTTCTTTCTTTGACAAAATCTACTACAAATAAGAAATACTTTGGCAGTTTCCTCAAAATATTCTCTTATTTGGTTTGTTTTCAGGATTGCTTGAGACTGTTACTTCAGTTCTTCTCCATCCAAGTATGGCTGCCCGACTTGCTGCTGCATGGTGTTTGCGCTGTGTGGCTGTAGCTCTGCCTTTCCAATTAACTCCTTTATTGGACCGGTGTGCAGAAAGGCTTAACAACCTGAAGACCTCCCCAGAAGCTGTTAGTGGGTACAGTTTTGCAATGGCTGCTTTGTTAGGTGGAGTTCATCAATGTTCTCTAGGTATCCCTCATGCCAAAGGAAAGGTGAGATTATTAATAGTTGCATTGTTTTGTTTATGCTGGTGTGGAGAAGGAAGGCTGTCATAAAATAATGTTAGCTGTTTAAAGGTACTTTCCAAAGAAGCTGCATTTAAAGATTTGCATTACTGGATGTTAGTTTCCCAATTATATTCAAGGTTTAAAGTCTGAAAAGCACAAGCTGTAGCTACCAAGGAACACATACCTTGCTGTGAACCTGAGATACGTTCACTGTGTCAAAAGGGAAATGCCCTTTTATAAACACTGTTATGTCTTCTGCTAGGCATGCAGAAAACAGCTTTATCCTATGCTGCTCCAAAACTAGGAAGCATCCATTTTGAAATTATAATTGCTCCTTCCTAGTTGTAAGATATTAAGATGCTTCTTTTTAATTGGGCCTCTTAAATTGCTCTATGCGTTTCATACTTTCATATGCTCATTTTCTACTACATAGTAGTGCTTATTCCTGGGTAAAAGTGTTTAGCATCACAGCAATAGAAGCAAATTCCATTTTATGTTGGTGAATTCCTCCTTTTTGCTCTTTTTTCAGGGTGTTTCTCTTATTGTCACTTTCCACATCTTGGTTTGTTTTCTTTATTCATCTTTTTGTTTTTTTGCCCTGAGTCTCAGCCATACCCTGCTGAATATTACAGTTCCTTCTTTTGCTTGACTTTTTCATTTCACTGTTTAAAGGAAAAATAATTTGAATAATAATGACCTTAATATCAAATAAAGCTTTTATTTTGTATCCTTTGTTAAGTTATGAATTTTATTAAGATGCTTTTTAATTCACTTCTAAGTTAATTTTC